CTGGGAAACTCAGGATACCATGGGGTGGTAGGGATGGGGTGGTGGGAGCACAGGAAGTCCAGGCACAGAGTTCTAGAACACTGCCAGGATCCCACTGATCTCCAAGGGGTTCCAAAGTCTAAAAGTAGAGTAAATTGACTAAGAAGGAGTTCTCTGAGTTTGGGGCAGCATTGGAGGTGCAGTCCTAGATTAGCTGATTCCATAAATTCTGAATCCAACCTGGGGTTCCTACCAACATATGCATGGTCTAATTGTCAGTTTCCTTCAGCCACTGTGTAGGCAGACTAAGCCCTGAGGAAGCAGTCAGTTGAAATTAATCCCACGTGGTGCTTCCACTATAACTTTCATATCCTGCTAAAGTAGCCTGTTAGCAGAATGCCTAGGAGGATATCCTCATCTGTTGTCAGTATGGTGAGAGAGAAAACCATGTATCACTTCCCCACACCGTTATCACAGTGCCCCAGACAGCACTTAGCTCAGGGTAAACCAAAACCAAACCAGTTGCCGTCAAGTTGATTCCAACTCATGGTGACCCCATGTGTGTCAGAGTAAAACTGTGCCCCATAGGGTTTTCAATGGCTGATTTTTCAAAAGTAGATCACCAGGCTTTTCTTCCAAGGTGCCTCTGGTGGACTCAAATCTCCAACCTTTCCGTTAGCAGCAAGTGCATTAACTATTTGCACCATCCAGGGACTCTCTAGCTCATGGTAAACCAAAACCAAAACCACTGCTGTTGAGTCGATTCCAACTCATAGTGACCCTATAGAACAGAGTAGAACTGTCCCATAGGGCTTCCAAGGAGCAGATGGTGGATTCGAACTGCTGACCTTTTGGTTAGCAGCTGTAGCTCTTAACCACTGCACCACCAGCTCATGGTAAGGGGTTGGATATACTGTCAGAATAAGTGCATCTCTGGATCCCAGCACCTAGAAGAATGGCTCAGCTTAGGGCAAACACTAAAACACATGACATGTGCACATCCATTTTCACACTGAAAAATGTCCTCAAAATTTTCACCTTTACACTACAATTTTTCAGACTTCATCTTCGCCCAAAATAACTACTTTGCATAACAGTAGGAAAGAAAGGCATATTAAAGGCACATTTCACACCTGAATGACTGCAGTAGCAGATTCGGAAGCCATCCAATGAGAGAGATCTCCTGAAGAATAGTCACTGGAGCACAGGCTTAGAGAAAAAAGTTGCTATTGTATTTTCAAAGCCTTTTCTCCATGCATGGAATATGTTGGATTGGTTTTTATATTACTCCTGCCTTCCCAAACAACATGATGCACCCCACTGCCGAGAAAACGAGCAATCTCGGAGAGCCTGGTTGTTCTCCTCCGGTGCCTCGTCTGAGAAATGAAGTGTGGGGGTGGGATTAGCTGCAGAGAAGGCTAGAGACTTAGCTCATGCCTGAGACACTTCTGATACACAGCCAGGGGATCCCTGTGTGCCAAACTGAGAACCCAACCCCAGGGGCAAATGATGAGGGGTGGGCAGAAATGCCCCATCCTCCTCACTTTAGAAAGGTTTCTAATGTTTAGAAATGCTTCTGTGAACAGACTAAATAACTTTTCCCTTCTTTTTCCCACTTTCTTCCCTTTAAGAAGGTTAAAGCCCTGGCCCGTTTTTAGCTGTGTGGGTTCTCTGGGTCCCTGGATCTGACATTGGTCTGGGGGCAGCAGTGAGGCCAAGGGCTTCTCCTGGATCTAACACCGGTCTGGGGGCAGCAGTGAAGCCAATGGGCTCCAGGCCAGCTCTCCTGGAAAGCCACATTCTCTCCATCAGTGGGCATCAAGGTCAGCCCTACCTCGGGGAGAAGGCCCGTGAGAGCAATTGCGAGTACCTGAGTGAGCAGCTCTGGGCAATTTACTGGCATTTACTGGTGATGACTCCCTTTGAGAATGTGACAGAAGCTCTGCTCCTCTCAGAAGAATGTATGTACACACACACAGCTCCATCCCTAACTTGATGAAGGAGGGCTATGGATCCCAGGCTAAGAACCACTGGCTTACAAGACGATTCCATGGTCCCTTGCTTTCCTCCTGCCACTCCGAGGAGGACGGTCCTACCTGTGTGCACATGCCTGATGTCCCTGGAAGGGTGATGGGTCAGGGTTGGAAGAAGAGGGTCACTTTCATAGCTATAAGTCATTTAGGGGAACAAATGACACCATATCTTGAAAGACTCTTTTTACTCAAGGGTCGTAGGCTGGGGGTCTGGCAGTAGCTGCCATCTTCCTTCCATTCCTTTCTCCTCCATCTTCCTCTCCCAGCTTCACAAGAACAAAATGCCAATGCTCGTCACCAGACAAGAAAACCTTACTCCCCGTCAGTCAGGAGAAGAAACAAAACAAGCAAACCAAACTAAATCATTTTATTGTGCAGTTTCCTTCTACCAGAAAATTACTAAAAATATAAATATAAAATCTCTAGAAAATACTCAGAATACATCTATGATCTTCCTCCCCAAATCGGGGGCCAACCTCCTTTTTCTTCCTTTGTTCATCAACGTATTGCATGTCTGTCTTCATATCATCCGCATACGTAACACATTCACAGATACATTTCTCTCCGTGCAGGGAATACACTATCCTCCTGCCAGGTTCTAGAAGCTCAACTTGTGGTCTATCAGGGTAAAGCTATGTGCTGAATACAGGGATAGGGTGAGGTTGGGAGAGTAATGGGGAGAAAAGACTCTGTGGCCGCAACTTCCTTATGTGGAGATAGATGGGTCCTTCATTCTTCCTCATTACCCAGCCCTCATGATGACCGGACCACCCAAAAGGGTGGCTCACAGAGAAGCTGGACTACCTGGGAGTTTTGTGTGTGGTTGCCAAGCTGCCAGCAGGAAGGTCAGGCTGTTGAGATGGAACAGAAAAGTAGGTGCGGCTTTGGATAGGAGAGGTGGTCTGAGCCCATGCCCTCAACAGGAAAGATTAGTACTTGTTGCTCCTGCTGGGTTCTGGGTGGCACTTGACTCGTAGAACCAGCCATATCTGCAGCATCTAGGACCAGATTTCAGCCTCAGAGAACCCCCAATGTAGCAGCATCACCCCCTGTAGCATGGGGGATGGCTGAGGTGTAGAGATCAGAGGGGCCAAATTGAGCAGGGTCCCGAGCCCTCTTCTTCAGTATCAGACACTGGTCTAAAGAGCTCTGCAGTCACCCTGGGAGTGGTCCTGGGACAACCCGGTAGGATCCGTTTGTTGATCCTGTGTCTGAGGTCCAGGACTTCAGCAGAGGTTGGGTGTGGCGTGGAGAGCAGGGTGCTTAAGTAGCCGAGACCTGCAACTTCTGTATCTATGGCTGGTGCCTGCTAAGTTTCCCATCAAAGAAGCAAATGGAGCTTTTGGTATGGAAAGCTCAAATCAAGTGGACTTGATCCCAGGATATGTATTTAGCTGTCCTACCCCCACCCCGAATAGCAACCCATCATGGGGACGGCACAGGGTGGGCCATTGTTTTGTGCTGTGGTGGGTGGGATCGCCGCAAGTTGGGGGTCAACCTGATGGCAGCTAATAACAAGATTGACCACCACTCCAACCTCTATCTGTGTGCTTTGAGTGAAAGCCCAAAGCATCCTGGGAAAACTCACAGGACCCAAAATGCTGGTTGTGAGACCTTCTCTGACCTTTAAGGCCATATATCACATCCTGTGACGTTCTTGGGGCCCTGGTGGCACAGTGGTTGAGCATTTGGCTGCTAACCAAAAGGTCAGCAGTTCGAATCCACCAGCCGCTCCTTGGAAACCCTAGGGGGCAGTTCTACCCTGTCCTATAGGGTCGCTATGAGTTGGAATCGACTCAACAGCAATGGGTTTAGTGACGTTCTTGGAGAAAGGCAGGATGCACATATTCAGTAGTGCTTCTGCTCACTTAAGGCCCTTATGGGGGAGGGGAGGCAAGGCTTCGCTGTGAGCATGGGTTTTGAGCATTGCTTCTGGGGAAATGGAAGACATGGTAGAAGAAAAGGGGGTGAGAGGGCTGTGGAAAGTCACAGGGCTGCAGAAGAACACAGGAAGGGCGGCCAGTGGAACCCACTGTAGCTCCCAGTTCTGCAGGAGTTAGCTTGGGTATTCTGTATTGCAGGGGCGGTGGGAGGGTAGCAGGGGCTTGGTGATGAGATGAATTGGGAGGTGAGCTCTGGGATCTTGGGTGGGAAGGTCAGAGAATGAATAGGAAAGGGGAGGCAACAGGAATCCCAGGAAAGGACTGCCCAGCGGCATGGCAGCATCTCTCCCCAGTGTCTCTCCCAGATGGGCAGGGCTGGGGCAGGCACCCTCAGTGGTGGGCTGGGCCCCGCCCCCAGGCAGCACTCACTTTGTGCTCTACATCTAACTAGAGCGGAAACACCTAAAGAATCCCAGGTGACAAGGCAACAAGGCTGCCGCTGGGTGTCAGGCCTGGTAAGCATCTCCTCTGGACCCCACCCACTGGTAGAAGCAGATTGGCCTCCAGGGGCCTACGCTGTATTTGGATCAGGAGGAGTGGTGGCTGGCTTGGTCAGGGTCAGGGGTACAGCTTTCAGGTCAGAGCCCATCATCAAGCCTAACCCATCATTCCTCCTCCAGCTCGATTCCTCCCAGGCATGGAGCCTCTGGGGTATCAAGGAGGAAAGGGAAGGGAGGAGAGACTGGGAGGGAGGAGAGCTGGGGAGCAGGCACAGCACATGGGAGACAGGCAAAGGGAACTCCTGCAAGACCCATCCTCCTGGGCTGGTGGTCCTGCAGATCACCTGGAAACTAGGGCCAGCTTGGGAGCGTAGGAGCTCCAGTATCCACAGGCTGCAGCCAGCACCCAGAGAAGCTTATTGAAAATTTAGGATCAGGGATGGTACCCAAGTCCATCGGATAGCACCCGAGTCCTTTTGCCACTCTGCACACTGGCTTTTTAACTGGGGCTCTGGCTCTGTAACCTCCCGAGATGGGAGAATCAGCTCTGTGCAAGGAAGACAAGGGCGGTGGGAGCTGGGGGAAGTGCCATGTGCACAGTGGAGAAGGAAGCAGAGGAGAGGGGAGCAGTGTTCAGCAGGGAAGAGAAAAGGCTCTACTCGAAGGACAGCAAGTCTGGGTGAGGGCCTTCATTGTCAAGGCTGGAGGTCCGTGCCTGAGAAGGCGGGCTACCGTCCTCCGGGGGCTCAGCCAGGCTGATGGGGCTCAGGCTGAGTTTGAGGCCATTTCTCTCCATGAGGTCAGGGGAGGAGGCCCTTCGCCACTCAGTCATCTTCAGCTTGGATTCGCCCTGGCTGTCCTTGTGGATTAGGTCAGGTACCGACAGGGAGACCTCTCCATTGGGCAGGGCCTCGCCCTTCTCTGCCATTTCCATGGTGACCTCTAGCTGGGACGTGTCTGCTGGGGCGAACTCTCTTGGAGCAAGTGTGGAGGAAGGGGAGTCCTGGGGCAGCCCAAGTGACAGCTCTGTCCCATACTCCAGGTTACTCAGGACAGGCTGTGACGAAATCAGCATGTCCTGGGTGGTCTTCAGGGCCCGGGGGGTTCGCTTCTTGGTTACGGGTGGTGGAGGATCCAGTCGTGGGAATGCTTCTTGCAGGGCTGACCTGTTTAAGGTTGATGACAATAAGCACACACGCTTTAAGGGTGGTGAGACACCCATCCGCCCTGCACTCCTGCTTCTCCAACTCCACTTTCCACTCGCCTGTCCAATGAGTGCTGAATCCTTTGGGCTCTCATTCTCAGTTTAGCATGTAGGTCTTAGCAACGTGAGCAGAACAACTAGCTCCTGGCCTTTACATCCTCACTCAGTGTTCATCGGGGACAGGATAAAAACCACCAGTGAACTGTATGTCAGAAACATGGGCATGCCTTTGGGGAAGGTATTTCTACAGAGTATCAGAACCTATGCAGTAAGCCTTTTGAAGGACATTACCACCTCAGAAGCACAGGGGTTTAAAACAAGGCCTGGGAAGGACCTGTAGGTATGAGATGGAAGAATGGGAGGGCTGCCCAGCAAGGCTCTCCCCCAAATCTCTCACCACCCCTGCTTCAGTGCGTTCTGACATACAGACTAGAGCAGTGGTTGTCGGGTGTGGCTGGGCATCAAAATCCACCTGGAGGGCTTCTGGGCCATCCCCGGGCCTGCACCTGACCCCTGGTGTTGCTGACTCAATAGATCTGGATGGGAGCCAGGCATCTGTATTTTCAAAGCTTCTCCAGGTGATTCTAGCGCAGAGCCATGATGGACAGCACTGCTACTGCACCTTGAAGATCTGGCTGAAGCTATAGATTGTAGACTGTTACCGGCTGGGGTATCCCAGCCGGACAGACCACACTGGTGATTACAGCACTGTGAGGGGGTGGCTGCCTGCAGGGTTAAGGGTGAGGACCCCGACAGGTTCTGCATTTAGTGGACTCCTAACCATCATCTGGCTCTGCTGCTTCTACCTAGGAAGCTCCTGAGGCCAAAGGATCTACACTGGCAATGACCGTTTCTATGTTACTGCTCAATGAACATGGACACAAGCCTGATTTATTCTTAAGCATCTGGAACATTTCCCTTTGAAAACCACTTCGTTGATGTTGTGTGCCGTCAAGTCCACTCCGACTCATAGTGACCCTATAGAACAGAGTAGAACTGCCCCATAGAGTTTCCTAGGCTGTAATCTTTATGGGAGCAGACTGCCACATCTTTCTCCCATGGAGCAACTGGTGGGTTGAACTGCCGACTTTTTGATTAGCAGCCAAGCATTTAACCACTGCGCTACCAGGGCTCCTTCCAAAAACTTTAGGGTTCTAAATTATAACATATAGTTAGTTTAAAGGGTCGTACAAAGCATGTTTATGAGAGCGTATTTAAAGACTAAGGTCTGCCTGACCCAAGCCATGGTGTTTTCAATGCATGTGAAAGCTGGACAATGAATAAGGAAGACCGAAGAAGAAGAATTGATGCATTTGAATTATGGTGTTGGCGAAGAATATTGAATATACCATGGACTTCCAGAAGAAAGAATAAATCTGTCTTGGAAGAAGTACAGGCAGAATGCTCCTTAGAAGCAAGGATGGTGAAATTTTGTCTCATGTACTTTGGACGTGTTATCAGGAGGGACTAGTCCCTGGAGAAGGACATCATGCTTGGTAACGCAGGTGGTCAGCGAAAAAGAGGAAGATCCTCAATGAGATGGATTGTCAGAGTGGTTGCAACAATGGGCTCAAACATAGCCACTATTGCAGGACGGCACAGCACTGGGCAGTGTGTCTGTTTTACAGAGGGTTGCTATGAGTGGGAACTGACTTGACAGCACCTAACAACAGCAATCCAAAGCCGTGTTTATGATAGTGTGTCTGACAGTGCAGAATTTTGTCCTTAACCACTCCCTTACTTTTTCTACCTTAATCATGTATTAATCTCTAAAGGGGATGCTGTGTGATTTTCTGGTTTGGTTCCCTGCAGACAGATGAGGGTCAGAATCACCAATCCCAGCATTCAAAGGGCAATGAGTCCAACCTCCCAACTGAATCCCGATGCTCACTGCAGGATCTCTGCCACACCTACATCAACCTTCTCAAACAGGCCTAAGGCCAGGAGACTAACTTCTGCCCAATGAATCCATCTTTTAACAGCTCTCCATCTTGGGAAGAAGTTCCTTATGTTGGGCTAAAACTGGCCCCTTTCCAGATTCACCCTCTGAATAGATTTACACCCTGGGTCAACAGAACAAGGCTAATCTTTCTTCCACAAGTGAGTCCTGGGATTAAGACATCAACTCCAAAGTAGACTTGGGGTCGAACCCAGCTCTGCCAGTTACTAACTTTGTGACCACCAGTAACTCACTTCACCTCTCTGAACTTGAATTATCTGCAAAGTGGAGACAGTGTACTCTACCTTATAGGGATGTTGGGAGGATTAGGTAAAATGATGCAACTAAAGTATTTAGCACAGTGCCAAGAACATGACAGAGGCACAGTAAATGTCAGCTGTGGTTACAGAGGTTGAAGCTAGCACCCATGAACATCACCCATTCCTTCAGCTGTTCTTCTTATGACAATTCTGCACCCCTTCATCAGAGTTGCTCTTCCCTGGAGACCTTCAGTAGAGGTACCTCAGCAGAGCTGCAGGAATACTGAAGGGGTATACACTCACCGCTCGTCTTCTAGACAGGCCCCCGATGCCACATCAACCCCACTTGCTAGTTCAGCGCCTGCGGTCTTGTTGATCTCCATCACGCCCACACCACCAAGGCTCGAGGGCTCTTTCCTCCTCAGGAAGTCATTCATTTTGGCCCCCATGGCTTTGCCCAGGTTCTTGAGGTGCTGGCTGCTGCCCACCCAGAGTCCTGGCCCACCAGGCTCCACAGGACCTAGAGCGACAGAGCTGGGGGCTGCAGACCTGGACAAGTGGGGAAAGGAACAGCTCGACTGCAGCTTTGGAGTGAGGGCTGTATTCAAGTTCTCAAACATGCTGTGGTCAACTATGGACAAAGAGGGAGAGACGGAGAAATGGATGAGTACAGGGTCAGAGGGACCTTTGACCATAAGCCTCTGCTTTGTCTGAAACTTGTGACTTCATAAGCCTTTGGAAATATTCAAGAAAGAACCAGCAAAGACACTCTTGAACATTCCCAACCTAGTTTTCCTGATAGGACTTGGGGCCAGAAATTCTAGTTCTGTCCCATTCAAGTTAATCAGTGACTAACTCTACCCATGGAAAAGCTAACTGATCCCTTGAAACCTGCTTGCTTGACTCATAGCTTGACTTCTTTACCTTGGGGTCACTGGGCCTTTTGATGCCCCCCCCCCAAAAAAAAGAGAATAAAGTAATGAAATATGGCATTTTTACATCACTGTGAGTACATGTCAAACTGTGCTCTGTGATTCAGGAACTGAGACAGATGCTGGTGAAGGGATGGCAAGTATGAGGCTTGGTGTTGGAAGCTCCCTATCAAAAAGCCACCTGCATAGCACATTTCTCCATGGGAAACGGGCCAGCAGATGCTCACTTCCCCTGAGGTAGGGTGAATGGGGCTAGCTACATGCAGGGATTCAGACTCAGTTCACATCAAATGGACAAGCACTCGGTGCCAGTGATGCAGGAGCATCTTGACAAAAAACAGCTCACTTCATCCTCACGACAACCTAGTGAGGTGGGCGTGGTAAGCCACCTATTTACAGATGAGGAACGAGGGGCTCAGAATAATTAACTATCATGTCAGAAGTCATACAACCAATAGCTGGTGAGCCTGGGACTAGAACTCAGGTCTTCTAATCCAAAGCTCAGGGATCTTTCCACTACCGTGCCCTTCCTTAGACCATGGAACAGCTGCCTAAACATGCCTGGTTGATGGTCCTTCTCTCAGGGATCTCTCTTTGGCTCAAAAATTTAACTCAGAGAGTTGGTGTAGACCCACTGGGGGGCAGAGGCCAGAGTCTGGTACACAGTAAGTCCTCAATAAATATCTTGAGTTGAATTTTGCAAATGGAAAATTGTGGAGGCCAAGAAAGTAGCTCCATGGTTTGTTGTTGGAGTGGCTGGAACCTGGGCTTGGGGCTCTAGACACACTGGCCACGCTCGCACAGGGGCATTCTTTCCTCACCTGAAGATCCAGCTCAGTTTTCCAGGTAGCTAGATCCATTCTAATGCCTTGGAACCAGGCCTGTGGTTTCTGTCCTTACCTACCCTCAGATGTTGTGTCAAACTTGAAGAAGAGGCTACATTTGGTCGCTATGCTCCTCTCCTTGTCAACACCGCTGCTAAGTGTCTACTCTCACTGAGCCTTTCTAAAAGTATCTGAGGTTAAGGTGTACTTTCTCTTCTGTCAAAGCTTTTTGCATAAAGCTGTTCCCTCTGCCCTGCCCTGCTGAGTCTTGGGGCCAGGAGTAGCATTTCTCTTTATCGTGGTTTCAGCAGAGACAACTCCTCTGGGTCAGCTACTTAGATAGCCATATTCCGAGGGTCTCTGGGTGGAAGGGAGGAAGCTGTGGGAAGAGGAGTGGAGAGCTCCCTCTGTGAATGAGCTCTATGGTCTTCACCTCTGTAATTGCCCTGAACCCATGAGCAGGCGCAAGCATCAGTGCAGGGGAGGCAATGCCAGGGAACTCAGTTGAGGGCATCCCTGGGATACAGGGAGCAGGGCTCGCTGATTCAAGCCGTGCTAGACTCACAGGCATAGATGGACCCCATGAGTGGGAGTTCCCATCTAGCCTCACAACAGGGCCATCAACTCCTTATTATTCACTTAACAGTGTATCTTGCCTCATAATCCACATTCTTCTCATTCTTCTTTAATCATGAAACCTTTAAACTAGCAGAGGAGCCCTTGGAAACAAAAATATTTAACAATTTCCCCCCAACTCAGAAAGTACTTGGGTCACCATGGAACCAGGGCAAATGTTCCAGAGAGGTACATTGGGGAAATATCTCATTGTTTCCTGGCTCATATTTTTATGTTGTGGTTTCCTTACTGGCTTAAAGTGAATGTTCAGAGCAGGCACACTCATTTTTAAAAGTGTAAGTACCAAAACCACTTGTCAAAGTGATTTCTAGATTGTGGGCCCCATTATTATCATTATTAAAACACATTCTAATAAACAAATAACTTTGGATTATGCACCATTTTGGAATTTCTGTACTTGCTCTCTAACCTTCAGAACTTAGTCTATAAAATATACCAAATTCTTAATTAACTTAAAGATAGCCCATTATACACTCTCTTATACAATTCTCTAAATCTTTCTGGTAAATATACCTTGTTGGCGTTAGTAAAAGGGTGGGTTCCTTGAGGGGATATAGAATCTTAAGTGCTTTTTATCTCCTAAAATTCCTAGCAAAGGGCCTTGTAAGCGTTTGCTAAATTACTGTAGTTTAACTGGATTGACTTTTATATGAATGCTTAAAATTTGACTGCATAAGGGGCTGACATTTTAGGGAAAGTGCTCCCAAGCCTTTTTTCCACTTACAAAAGCCCTCCAAAAACTCCCACACAGGAACGGCCCCCAGGGGCTGTTGAGTTCAAGCCAGGAGAAACTGCCCTCCTTCCCAAAGTGGGACTCTGGCTGGAGCGTCTTTTACCCCCATATCCCAAGGATACACAATGAGCCCATTTCCTGTTTATAACCCCCAAACTCTGTCCCCTCCCTTCCTCAGGACTAGAGGCTTGGTGGTTCAGAAAATAATGGTGATGGAGGGCAGAAAGATGACTGGACCCAGGCTGGGTGGCCCTCCCAGCAGCACCCCCCAACATGCATATACCCAAGCAGAGGGGGGCACCTGGGACGTTAAGTTATCCATAGGAAAGAGAGTATCTTACCTGACTGAGAAAGGGGCTCGGAAAGCAGGTGGGAAACAAATGAGAGAGAGACACATTTTATGTAGTGACCAACTGCTGTGAGAGTGTCACCTCCTGCCTGGGCGGCCAGGAACAACACACCCAGAGGATATAGCACCTCCTGTTACTAGGCGCATATCAAACCCCCGAAACACCAGGTTCCCACAAACTCTTCAATAACTAAACCAAAACATGTTTGTGTTTTTAAAACTCTATAAACAGACACTAAGAGATTTAGCCTGCCATATTTTCTCCAATAACTTGAACCCTCTTCACATTAAATATATACGAAGTTCCTAGTTGTCAGTGGGAGACACGTGATGGGTCAAGGCAGAATGAAATTCCAAGTCCTCTGGAGCTACTCAGCATCACTCATGACTATGCTATTTTCCACATGTAAATCACTAGGTTTTAGACCGGAAAGATGTTCATCCACTCCAACTGTCTAAATAAACAAAACGAAAAACCAAGTGGCAGAGAGGTTTGCCCAATATCCCACAGGAAGCTAACGGCAGAGTGGGGATTAGAATTTACGTATGCTGATTCCCAGACCTGTGACCTTTGTCTCCACCACGCTGCTCCAAACGTCAATGCCAATACTCTCCAAGTTGCCAAAGCATGCAGCTTCTATTTACTTCCCAACTGGCTCTAATGTTCCAAACCAGGTGCTGTGGATTGAATTGTGTCCCCCAAAATATGTGTTGTAAATCCTGACCCCTATACCTGCGGTTATAATCCCATCTGGGAACAGGCTTTCTTCGTTATGTTAATGAGACAGTATTAGTGTAGGGTGTGTCTTAAACCAATCTCTTTTGAGTAAAAGAGATTCAACAATCAAGCAGGCAGAGATAGGAGAAGACAGATGTCAAGCTACATGAAGATCGCCCAGGAGCAGACGCTCAAGAGACAAGGACCTTCCTCCAGAGCTGACAAAGACAGAAAGCCTTCTTCTAGAGCCAAACCAAAAAAATAAATCTGTTGACGTCGAGTCGATTCTGACTCACAGTGACCCTACAGGACGGAGAAGAACGGCCCCATGGGGTTTCCAAGGAGCAGCTGGTGGATTTGAACTACCGAGCTTTTGGTTAGCAGCCTGAACTCTTAACCACTATGCCACCAGGGCCCCCCTCCTAGAGCCAGCACCCTGAATTTGGACTTCTAATCTCCAAACAGTGAGAAAATAAATTTCTGTTTGTTAAAGCCACCCACTGGTGGTATTTCTGTTATAGCAGCACTAGATAACTAAGACATCAGAGAATGAGGGAGGAACACAAGGGAAATTATGTTCTCCACATTGTCTTTCAAATGCTTAAGTCCTAGGACTAAATACAGGCAGGAAGACAACTCTGGGCTGTTGTGTGCAGAAGTGGATGTACACTCACACTCATATACTCCATGCCACTGCAAAACGAGCCCACTGCCACTTCAGAGTAGGCTGTATCTTTCCCACAGAGCAGCGATTGACACCACTTCCAGGTGATCTGGAACAGGATGCTTTCAGCTTACCTTCACAATCATCTTCCACCCAGACTCCACATCCCACTAGTGTGCTTCTAGGTTGTTACAAATGACAAAAGTGAAGCAAAGATAAAGGCAACTCCTGCTTCTCCAGAGTCCGTAGTGTCAACAGCAAACTGACCTTTGCTTACATTGAGCAAGATGATATTGAGTAAGCTTCTCATTTTTAGTCACTTCCCCAAAACAGAAACAGTGACCACTTAAAACAATACCTGATACCTATTCTTAGGGAGTATATTGAGGTATTTCGGCATAATAGGTCATGATGTTTGTAACTTACCTTCAAATAGTTCAGAAAAAACAATTACGGATATTCACATGCACACAGAGAGAAAGAACTGATCAAACAGATGGGGTATAAGGTTAACAATAGGTAAATATGGATACAGGGTACGTGGATGTTCCTTGTACTTATTTTTTGCAACTTTTTATAAGCTTGAAATTACTTCCAAAGGAAGCATAAAAAATATACCCCAAACCAAAAACTAAAACAAAACAATAAAAAGTATTTGGCAGTGAGGTTAGGCAGCGGAGAGAGAAGAAAAGTAAGAGGGTCATTCAGAGAGGACACAGCTGGTGGGTGGTGGCAGGGACTACACAGAAAAGTGAAAGGGGGACAGATAGATAACATCAGTCAACTACCTCTATGCTAGTCTTCCCTCCCTCTGGGTATTCTCAGTCAGGACAGGCCACTGAGGAATACAGCAAGTCAAAAAATCTGAAAAAATGTTTTAGTTAATCTTGTCTCACAATAGACTCCATTCCATGTACCTAAGGGGTGACCTAGCTGGTGAGTGGAATCATGTGATCTTCTTGTGATGTCAACTGTGCTCAGAATGTTTATTGTCTGGACAACCAGACCAGCCTCTTGGGAGCAGATGTGCACTCTCCATACCCTACAGTAGTCAGAATATGGAGAACTTCTCATTCCTCAGCATTTCTGGGCCGCGAATCCCTTCCTCTGCCATGAGCACTTTTCCTGATATTATATCCTCCCGTGCCACCAGCTTACCAGGTAAACTCTGGTGCCACTAGGGCCACAAAGATGTGGTTTATTTTTGATGCTTTTAACTGAGTACTGGACCACACCATGTGACAGGACCACGATTTAGTGAGAAAGTCAAATTACACAGGGGGAGACAGTAACTTTTCAAAATACTGCATTCGTGGTAAGTTCCTGCTGTTTATTCATTTCTGGCAAGGTAAAAATGGGGGGAAACATTTGTTGTCCAAGTTTCCACCCCCTAGAATCTGCATAAGATCTCAAGGTGGCAGTCTATGTAAGGAGTACGTGCTAGTTTCAGTTGTTCTGGCAGAATGGAGACCTAGACTTGTCAAGCCATCAGTAGGAACGTTAAGAGGCAGGGTAACGGAGGAGCACGGTGCGGAATGAAGCTGCACGCTCCCAGAACCTGCTACTCAAAGTATGGTCCACGGACCTGCAACATCAGCACCACTTGGGGGCTTGCTAGAAATGTAGAACCTCAGGCTCAATCCAGACCCCAGACCTGCTGAATCAGAACCTGCATTTTTAACAAGATCCCCATGTGGTTCCTCTAACCACTAACATTTGAGAAGTTCTGCTCTGTGGAGTAGTTCTCCTAAATATCCGTTTGCCTATACACACGACATTTATAAATGTTTCCCCAACTGTGCATAGTCACTGCTCTGGGGTTTGAGGCATGTCCACTTCTATCCAAGTGTTAGAGGCCACTTCAGGGTATGATAGGCAGCTAGGGTCCACCTGAACCCTTTCTGGCTGTGGCTGTGAGATGTTTCACTAGAGAATCAGGCTTCTCATCCTCAAAGGGACCATGTAATACATCCAGCCAATGACCAGAGCACCCTTACTGAACCCTGGTTCCCAGATCACCTAGAGGCCGGCAATAGAGGGAAGTCACACGTGTGGTGAGCTTCAGGAAGCTCTGGTGAGGGGTGGGCCAGGCTTGTCATCTGGACCCATGACTTAAATTCCCCTTTGGAGAGGATCTTTCCTGGCTCCATTTGGAATTCCCCAGGATGCCGATCTGGATGCAAGAGAGGTCATTGTTATGCTTTCGCTTTGAGATGTCTCGAAGTACCGAGGTTGAGCCTCTAGGTATGTCTAGGGGAATGCCAAGAAGAGGACTCCCAGACTTGCTTAGCTCACCAGAGGGTCTCTTTTGTAACCCAGACATCACAAAGCCTGCGGTACCTGCTGAGGCCTCCGGCCCAGCTCAGGCCCTGCCACCCCAGTACCCAAGCAGAGCTCTCCACCAGCACAGGGTACATAACACGGTGCTCTCACCAGGTGAGGCCTTTTCGACTCTGGGTGGGCACGTGTGACACGCTGGGGTGCACAGGGCTGCTCCCTTAAGGGGAAGGGTGCTTGAAGCCAGATACATGTGCTGCATCTGCACCTGCAGGCCCCTATCTGGCCTGGTCAGGCCCTGTGGCGGCCTCCTGCCTCTCTCCTCCTGCCTCTCTAGCTGGTATGTAGAAGCAATTTCTGCCCTAGTGGGCTGTTGAGGGAAGATAGGCAGTGAGGCAGGCAAAAAGGTCACAACCAGACAACAATGATGGAAAGAGGGACTGTCCAGTTGTCCTGAGCCACCTGTCCGTGTCCATCCTTACAGGAAGCAGAGGGCAAGGTGTCTCCAGGGAGAGACCAAACCAGTTGCCGTGGAGTTGATTTCAACTCATAGCCCCCATGTGTGTCAGAGTAGAACTGTGTTCCATAGGGTTTCTGGTGGCTGATTTTTCAGAAGTAAATCACCAGGCCTTTCCTCCAAGTCATCTCTGAGAAGACTCGACCCTCCAACCTTTCAGTCAGGAGTCAAGCGCATTAATTGTTTACACCACCTAGGGACTCCCCAGGGAGGGAAGGGTCACACAAATACCAAGGCCTATTGATTGAAAGACGACTCTCTTGAACAGGGATGGAACTACCGTTCATGCCAACAGAAAAAGAAAGAAGCAAGAACCAATGCCTTAGACTGCTCTCCCCACCCCATCTTTCACCTGCTCCCAACAAAGGTGGGGCTGATGTAATCAGAGGTCATGCCTGACTGCTTGCCCTCATGCCTTTCTGCACCTCCCCACGGCCTCTAGCCACCCCAGGCCTTACTGCTCCCTATCTGAGGCTGAAGGCTCAGACCCAGCCCTTTCCTTTGCAGACTGCACAGTGGGGGACACCCAGAACGGAGAGCAGCTGAGGCGGAACTGCACCATCTACCGGCCCTGGTTCTCCCCTTACAGCTACTTCGTGTGTACGGACAAGGAGAGCCACCTGGAGGCCTACAACTTCCCAGAGGTGCAGCGGGACGAGGGCAGGGGGGACAGCTGCCTTCCTGAGGACATAGCTGAGAGTGTCTGTTCGTCATCCTCCTCCCCAGAGAACACTTGCCCCCGAGAGGCAACCAAGAAATCCAGGCATGGCCTGGACTCCATGGACTACATCACGTCCCAGGACATCCTAATGGCCTCTAAGTGGCACCCAGCCCAGCAGAACGGCTACAAGTGCGCGGCCTGCTGCCGCATGTACCCCACCCTGCACTCACTCAAGAGCCACATCAAGGGGGGCTTCAAGGAGGGCTTCAGCTGCAAGGTGTACTATCGAAAGCTCAAAACCCTCTGGGGCAAGGAGCAAAAGGCCCGGCCAGGGGACAGGCTCGCCTCAGGTAACTGCCAAGCCTTCAAGTAGTCCTGCTGGGTGGTGGCAGCCATTTTGTTAGTGGACACCTCAGGTAAATAGGGAATGAAGCCTATTTATGTCTCTGGGGAGACACCAATAAATCAAAGTTAGTCACAGCCTTCTGTCAAGTCTGAGGTCACGCTGCAGCACCTGCTGTCCTTCCCAGTCTCCACTCCACTTCCCGTCACCTAACAGTTGCCTAGCAACACCAGGCCCACCTCCCTGACTCTTCCTTTTTTAAAAGACAATATCTGAAGATAGTGGTTCTCAAAGTGAGGTTCCCAGACCAGCAGCATCGGCATCACCTGGGAACTTATAGAAATGAAATTCTCAGGCCCCACCCCAGACCTACTGAATTGGAAGCTTTGGGGGTGGAGCCAGCAATTTGCATTTGAACCAGCCCTCCAGGTGACTCTGATGAAGTTCCAGTTTGAGAACCACTGCTGTAGGAACCTAGCCTTCTTGTGGGTCCCTTGCCCCATGCTAGGGGTAGACTCACACTGAAGTGAGAAGGGGTTGAGTGCCTCTCCTGGTCACGTGGGAAAGCCTCCCCAGGAGAATCTCTGCCCCATGTGAAAGTCTTCTTAAATATTAGCTCTTTCGAGGGGTATAACAGGGAGGACAATATGCCCTTATGCAGAAGAGGCAAATATAACTGCTCATCCCCACCACACACACCACGGTCATTCATTTACAAGGGGCATCGCTCACAGAAGCAGAACAAAAGCATTTGGATCCAGGTGACATCTTCCCATGGCTGCTTCAAGTCATATCAGAATGGGCCAGTTAATGTGAAAACACTGCTTCCTATTACCAAGTAATGTGGCCGCGGACATCCCTGAGCTCACTGACACCTCCGCCCATGAAGGTGGGTGGGCATCAGGGATGCAGTGAGGACATGTTTTGCCCATTTTGTGGTTCAAAAAGAAGAGCTAAATGGTGGTCTTATTTTTTGACCTTATTTGCCTCATTTCGCTTCCCAATGACTGAGTGGGTCCTTTCACCACAGGGGGGCATTTCCTTCCAGGGACCCTGAACAGCAACCCTCCCTGTGTCTTCTGCCTTCCTCTTTGGTTGGCCCAAAGGTGAGGTAGAGGGTGGTTGTATATTAACTCTTTCTGAATCTTCACTCTAAAGTTTAGCAGAGCTTCTTCAGCTTATTATTGTGCAGCTAAAATATCACTTGTGATTCTTTCGTTCCCCAGAGTGTGAGGCAAGCTGGGCTCAAATCCCATCCCATCCTATGCTGTGTGAATTCACCCTGCCCCTTCTGCCCCACCCTTGCTCTGCATACTATCCATCCTCCCAGACCCAACCGCTAGGCCATTAATGGCAGGGAGGGCCTGCAAACTCACTCTCCCAACTGCTCTTCTGACCTGGGCCTAGCAAAGGACCAGACTTAACAAACTCTGCCTTTAAAACAGCTAAAAGTTCCCGCCCAAGTAATCTGGTTTCCATAATGTAGGTTCTCTGAGATCCTGCAGCTCCTTGTTTCTCTAGCGCTCCCTTCTCTACCAGCATTCCTCCTCCCCTTCTGAGCTGTGTTCCCTTCTAGGTGGGTGTGGGGAGGATGTGCTGCCCCCAGTACGGGCATGTCCAGAATTGGCCCACGCAGACTCCTCCCAACTACGTATTTCAGACACTTGCCTCGTAAGCAGTGAAAACTCATAATACTGATGATCGTGGTTATATTTGAAAATACAATCTGATGCGGTACTTTTCCAAGCACTTAAAACTTGCTGCTACTGTCCACGATATTCCAATGAGGTTTGGAGTTTGAAAAGACCTGGGGTCGGGAGAGTCTGCAAAAATGGATATAGACTAGGGTTTCTTAATATTAGCACTATTGGCATTTTTGGGCCAGATAATTCTTTGTGGAGGTGGGAGGATTTTCCTGTGCATTGTAGGATGTTTAGCAGAACCCTTGGCTTCTATCTGCTAAATGCCAGTAGCATGTCCAAGCTGTAACAGCCAAAAATGTCTTCAGACACTGCCGGATGTCCCCTGGGGAGCATAACTGCACCCAGCTAAGAACCACTGGTATGGGGGGAAATCCTGCATTCTCCAAGGCTGGTCTACATAAGTCACAACTGAGGGTACCTCCTTCCTTCCCTCCTTCAGGGAACATGTGAATTCTAAGTACCACACCCTTGGAAACCACGTGTCACAGAACTGATGCCACCTGGCTCGGAAAGTGGGGTGGAAGTGAGGGGGAGAGAAAGAGAAGGTGGAATAGCAGAACAAGAAACAAGAAAAGACAATGGAAAAGCTTTTAGAAATAAGAAAGGTTTATTTAGCAAAAGCCACTAGACTAGTGACAACATCCAGGGAATAAGTGCACTTACAGTAACAGAATCTTTTCCCAGAGACTTGATCCAACAGAGTTAATGACACAGCAGTTTCAGGAAAAGAGGGGCTGCGGGGTGGGGGCAGGAGAAAGCAGTCAAGCAAAGAGTAAATAAAAGGATTACAACCCTAAACAACATCAGCTGAGAGAAGTGAGGCTATGGAGAGGCTTTACAGACAGCACTGATATAAGCAGGAATAGAAGGAATATAGTTTTCAATCCCAATACACAGTCCATCCTGGGCAGAGAGATTCTTCCCTGCCTCTGCAACTGTGAAGGCCTCGTGTGCCTGAGAGTCTGTGGCACCTGGGGCAGGCCAGCGGGCTCACAGCCTTTTGTCACCAGGAAGGTAGATGCCCCAGTGTCCACTTGTCCTCCACACAGAGCAGAGTAGAAGGATGAAAAAGGGGAAGGCAGGAGGTGAGTTAGCAGAGCAAGAAGCAGAGGAGAAGGAGGGCAGGGTGATATCGCTGGAAAATCAGGTCGGCAACGTTCCCTTGCCTGCTCAGTTGGCCCTGATGGAGGGTCGATGGCTGGTGACCCCCCAAGATTTGTCCTTTGTATCCCACTCTCTGAGTGTGCACTGATTCGGGTCACACCGGAGACGATGCCCATGCATAAGCCAGTGCTCCAGGGAGGGACTGAATGGGAGAAAATATGGCAGGACAAAACCACCATGGAGCACTCCAAGGGCTAGAGTCTTGAATGGGCCTCACGTCATCATCACAGATAACCAGTCTTTGATTCTTTCTCTTTCTCCTCCATTTCCTTTCTTCTTGCCCTTCCTCAGTTTTTCAAGACCATTTTAGAAACTATCTCCCCTCACATACACACTCCTGCCCCATCCCACCACAAGCCACCTCCAACCACCTTCCATACACCTAATCCATGGGCCTCTGACTTTATCCTCAGCTCCTGCTTGCAGGCTGTGGGCCTCAAGAAACCAGACCTTCTACTTCCTCGGCCACTGGACATTCTGATGATCTAAGAGGTTCTAGATGCGAGAAACACCCCAGGTTAAGACTATGTAAACTTGGTAGGCTCCACCAAGCTGGATTCTTGACATCTGCTGCTTTAGTTTTGCACATCTCACTTTCCTGGTTCTTCCTTTCCTCACTTATCTGGACCTACTTCCAATGGTAAACTAGATAATAAAACAGAACAGAACAACCCCCTCCAACTAAATGCATGTCAGCAGACAACAGAAATCTATTGTTGATTCAAACACCCTGGAGATTCCCATTCTCTTATCTCAGGTCACTTCTCACAAGCCTAAAACATGTGTATACCTTCCCTAACACATGCGTACACACACACACATATACACTCACACACACACCCCATTCCTAGGTCCACTGACACCCTGGTGCACTAATCCCAAAGGAAGGCTAACGTAAAGCTACATTTGTTTAATTTGGACTTTCTGGTCTAGAAGAAATCTAGTTGCGGTATAAGAGCTGCTCTTTCATTTATATAAACTATAAAGCAAAGCGAAGGTTGAAGAAATTCTATTTTGGGACAACCAAATCTTTACTAACTGACCCTCAAATAATACTATAGTCTGGGTCTATAGCTTCTTGTCCAGGACAAAGACTTATTTCCTTGAATATACTATTCCAACATGTCTCAGCTCTCTCTTCAGGCATGTTTAAATCTATGACCAGTCATTTATGGTCTTCATGGAGCAAAAGGCACTGTTCTGTCTCCAGTCAGCTTGCTGTGCCAAGTGGTGATCTCTAGGCCAGGTCTAGACTGTAAAGGACAAAAGGATTGCACACGGCACTTGTTACAGGTGTGCTTGAGACATGCGCCCACAGAGATGAGTGGGTCAAGGGTGACATGGCTATGGTTCCTGACCTAAGTGGCAGTGATTCTGAAGAGTGGACGAAAGAGCTACCAGTCTATGTCCATTTTTTGCAGTAAAAACTGACCACAGCTGCCCAATGGAGGGGACAGGTTGAGAGGTAAGGTTAGGCTCCAGGTAAGGCTGAGGCTCTGAGGCTTTCATAGATGCAAGAGTGAGGACTGTACCACCTTCAGTGGGCACAGCCCTGAGGTGGGACACAGGGGAGATGAAGGGACAGCTTCCCAGCTCCATTTAGATGAGCAGGGCTTTCAGGCAGGAGGGGGACAGGGCTTCCATACTGAAGAATCAGAACCAAGTGATTTGTAGCAGCAACAAGGCCATCCTCCCCATGGGCTTCCACAGTCAAGGGCCTGGACGATGTTAAGACTTCCAGTCTCCCTCGGAAGCAACTGACATCCAACTAGAGAAAACTTGGGGATTCAATTCATCGATTAGCTTATTCAGTGTGGCATCTACCAATTCCACGCTCACACAAAAAGGAATATCCTGTCTTTCATAGCCTAGAACATTCAACATCGACCACCTCCGCAAGGGTCTAGAGAAGGAATTCCTCCCCATAAAGGCCAAGGGAGGGTTAGGCAACTCGTAGCATCCTGATATCCAAAAACAAAGTATCTGAGAAGGTACCGATGGCTTCCCTTCATAGTTGGGACCACGGAGATGGGGCGCACAAGAAGGCTAGGGGGCATCACACAACAGAGGAGAGGAGTCTGATAATGCAGCAGGCAGGGCAGGTCCTTCAGCAGCCTGGTGGCCCTGAAGAGGGGCCTTCTCTCAAAGTCACCAGTTCTGGAAGGCCCTGTCTCTCCTTAAGTCACAAATAAAAGGGAGGAGCTGATTCACCTCTGGGAATCCAATTCTTTCTTCACTTTACCTTCCAAAGCAAAATCCTTATCCTTTTCTGAAACCTTCCTCTCTCCCAGGCCCCTGTATCCTCATCAATGCGCATTAGCTAGGCACGCCCCTACCCGGGCAGCAGCCACGCATGGCCCCTCAACACCACCGCGGCCTCCTCCTCCATCTCCTCCTCGCCCCGCAGCACCTACACGGCAATCTCATCATCCAGGCTATCGCCCAGCTCCTGCCTCTGCAGGACATTCAGCAGGCGGGGCAGCTCTTCCTGAGACCACGAGTCGCGCTCCTCGCTCTCGTCCGTGTTGGACTCGTACTCCGAGGCGATGCCTGACTCTCGGAACTTGATGAGCTCCAGGCCGCCCAGGAGCGGCTCGCCCTGCGCCGGGGGCGGGGAGTCCTCGGGCGGGAGAAAGCGGAAGCACTCCAGTTTCACCAAGCAGTCGCGCCTACCTAAGGGGCTGCCCGCTGGGTGGGCAAAGTCAGCCAAGCCTGCGCCCAGTGGCGGAGAGTGCAGGTCCTCTGGCTTAGGGGTCGTGGGGTCGCAGAGTACAGGCAAGGCTCCGGAGCGGAAGGTGATCTCCAGCAAGCTGTCCTGGGAGCCCACTGGAGGGGGAGACAAGAGAGGGAAGCAGCGTTATGCAAGGTGGTTGGTTTGGGAAGCCCTCTGACAGTCTGTGTTCCTGCAAGAGTCCCTCCCTGACCAACTCAAGGGCACCTCGTAGGGGTTTTGCATCTCTTAACACTTCACCTTCTTCCTACAGTGTGGGAGCCTAGAAAAAGGATGCATTTAAGTCTATGCAGCCAGTCATCCAGATTTTGCTGCAAAGTTCTGCTATTTTTCACGTTCATCAAGGTCAATATGCACCAAGCACTGAACTCAGCGCTTTAACAGATTATTCCATTTTGCTCTCCCCATGCCCCAGCAAGTAGGAATTATTATCATTGGTACCATCTGCAGATGAGACAACTGAGCTCTGAGGTTCAGTGATTTGGGTATTAAAAAAAAAGAAAAAAAGAAAAGCCATTGCTATCGAGTGGATTCCGACTCCTAGCGACCCTATAGGCCTGAGTAGAACTGCCCCATAGGGTTTCCAAGGAGTGGCTGGTGGATTCAAACTGCTGACCTTTTGGTTAGCAGCTGAGCTCTGAACCACTGCACCACCAGGGCTTCGATTTGGGTTTAGGAGCTACCTTTGTTTGACGGAGTTTTTCCTTCATCCGCTAATGAGTTGCCTGAGTATCACAGCCAAAAATGGTAGCTTCAGGACTAGAAGGCAGAAAGGGACAGGAAAGCTGGTGATAGGGAGTCCAAGGTTGAGTAAGGACAGTGTTGACATGTAGTGGGGTTGTTAACCATTGTCGTAGGGCAACATGTGTACTGTTTAATGAGAAACTATTTTGTTCTGTACACCTTCATCTAAAGTGAGAATAGCAGCACAACTGGAAGAACGTAATCGGTGTCACTGAATTGTGTATGTACAAATTTTTGAAATGGTGTATCTTTGGCTATGTATATTTTCACCAAAAAAAAAAGGTAAGAAGGGAGAGGGTTGACAGGTCGTGGGGTTGTTAACCAATGTCATAAAACAATATGTTTACTGACTGTTTAACAAGAAACTATTTGTTCTGTAAACCTTCACCTAAAGTACAATTAAAAAAAAAAAAAAGGTACCTTCAGGAGCCCAGAAGTCGCAGTGGGTTGATTTTAGCACAAGGCCAGGGTGCTGTTTACAGAAACAACACTTAAACAAATGGACTGGGAAATGACATGTTCTAGTAAATTATTTTGACTCCAAGTCCAGTACTCTATTATGCCACAGCTGCCTCTTCGGTAGGGATTTAGTCTGGGAATGATGTGAATCTTAATGGGGGGTGGGGGGAGGTTGGGATGGATGTGGACTTATGTATTCTAGAAGGTAGACAGACCTGAGAATTAGGCTGATAATCGTCCCACTACCTTCTTGTGGAACATCAAGGGGGGAGTCAATTACTAGGCAGCATTTTAACTAGCAGCTTTACTAGTTACCTTCGAGTTGATTCTGACTCATAGTGACCCCATATGTTTCAGAGTAGAACTGCTCCACAGAGTTTTCAAGGCTGTGACCTTTCAGAAGTAGAATGCCAGGTCTTTCTTCCAAGGCCCCGCTGGTTGGGTTCAAACCACCAACCTTTCAGTTAATAGCCAAGCACTTTACCATTTGCACCACCCAGGGATCTATGCTAGTAGCTTTGTTATTGTGTTGTTGTGTGCCATCGGGTCAATTCCGATTCATAGAGACACTGTATGGCAGAGTAGAACTGCCCCAAAGGGTTTCCTAGGCTATAATCTTTACGGGAGCAGATCGCCAGTTCTTCTCTCCTGCAGAGATGCTGGTGGGTTTGAACCACTGACCTTTTGGTTAGCAGTTGAGCATTTATCCATTGCACCACTAGCGTTCCTTATACTAATAGCTTAAGAAGGTCCAAACCCTGTACACTGCCCAGCCCTATTCACTGGAGGCTGAAAGCAGAGGGAGGTATCCCCCATTTTCCCGGACAGGCCCACATGAGCTTTGGTAATATAGTAAAGGCAGGGCAGTGGGAATCACATGATGATTTGGGGAGGCCAGTGAATGCCCTGAATGAAGTTTATGGTAGGAGATAGCTACAAATTGAAAGAATCATGTTAAAAGCGTGAGATAACCTTTAGTACAACCTTGTAAATCAGCATTAATTAGAAAAGAACAGGGTCTCAATAAACAAAAATCTGGAATATCCAGAGAAGCTACAGAGTGGTGAAGTGCAGCAGTTCCCAATCCACTTAAAAAATACAGATTTCCTGTCCTGCCCTGCCCCGGACCTAGAGGCACACTCTCTGTGGGTTAGACTCAGGAATATGCATTTTTAAAAAAAGTTCATGGGATAGTTTGGGGAAACTCCTAGTACAGTAGGAAAAGTGTTAGTTTTGCAATTAGACCTGTGTTTGAACCTTGACTCCACCCCTTGCTAGTCCTATAACCTTGAGGTAGTTACTTAGCCTCTCTGAGTCTGCTTCTTCATCTGTAAAATGGGGTAGCAATATCTACCTCTATAGGGATTAAATAAGACCGTGTATGCAGAATTCTATTACTGCTTCTGGTACAATGCAAGCAACCCATGGATAAGCTCAAGAGGAAGGCAAGAAGATGTGCCACTTCCAGGGCTTCCTGGTCCAGCCCAGAGGTGGCATCTCAACTGCCAGCAAGGCAACCTCTACCAACAACCAGCAGTCACTCCCTCCTACTTTATCTATTACATGCATATACTTCTACTTGCTTTTTCTATGCTACCCCCAAACCCAAACCAAACCCGTTGCCTTCAAGTCTATTCTGACTCATAATGACCCTATAGGACAGAGTAGAACTGTCCCATAGGATTTCCAAGGAGTGACTGGTGGATTCGAACTGCCAACCTGTTACTTAGCAGTCTAGCTCTTAACCGCTGTGCCGCCAGGGCTTTTCTATGTTACAGAGTTGTGAAAATAAATAGTGCAGAGAGAGTGTTATGGATCGACTGTGTCCCCCAAAGATATGTTGAAGTCCTAACTCCTGTTCCTCTTCATGGAATCCTGTTTGGATACAGGGTTTTCTTTTGTTATGTTAATGAGGTCATACCACAGTAGGCTGGGTCCTAAACCTAATCCCTTCTGATTAGTGTCTTATAAAGGGGAATACAGACACAGACACACAGACACACACAGGGGGAAGACACCATGTGAGGATCCGCCTACAAGCCAAGGAATGTCAAGCAACACCCTGGGCTACAGAAGCTAAATGATATAAGCAAGGTTCTTCCCCTAGAGCTGACAGAGAATAGCCCTGCCAATGCCCTGAATTTGGACTCCTAGCCTTCAAAACTGTGAGAAAATAAGTTTCTGTTCTTTCAAGTCACCCACTTGTGGTATTTTTATTATGACAGCACTAGGAACTAAGACAGAGAGTAAATTTCTAAGCAGTTTGATGTCTCCCACAGAACTCACAGACAGCATGGCACACAGCAGATACTCAGCTGATTGGAAAAGCCATCTGAGAAAGAAATGTGCTGCCTTAGGAGGCAGGGTACCCCAGCCTCCATCCAGTAGCAACTGGATGAATATGTGGCAGCACTCCCCAGAGACTTTCAAGCGTAAATCTGGGCATTGGATCAGAAGGTGGCCAAGATTCCCTCTGGCCCTGAAATTCTGTAATTCCATGAAGTGTATGGACAGGACACACAAAGTTGTCTTTGTTTTATGCTGGAATACAGGGCAGGCCAGTGGTCCAATAAAGCACCAGAAATGCTGGTTTCCAGAGCCTCCACAGAGGGAGGTGAGGCTGGGCAGGGCGTTGCTTACTGGCATTCTGTCCTGATAGCTTCAGCTCCAGCTCCTGCACCTGCTTGACCAGCAGTGAGATGTGCTGGAGCATGTCCTTGTTCTGCAGCAGGAGCTGGTGCACACGAGCCTGGGCCTCCAGCCGTGCCGCAGCCTCTGCAGCCAACTGGTCCTTCAGCAAGTGAACCTGCAGAGAGAAAGGGGCGGCAGGGAAAACAGGGCAGAGAGAAGAGAGGGCGTGAACGTAACTAAGAGTCGCTGGTGCACGTCCGAGACCAGAGATGCCCTCTATGTTGAAGTCAAGATGAGGAAGTCCTTCATGGGAAAAGGGGACACCTGGGGCTTGTCATCTGGGAGAAGGAAGAGCCAAGAGAGACTGGGTCACCTGGCCTATGCATCTCTCTGTGTGCCCCAAGTGAGGGCCATGGTGCGTCACTTGCCACTCTGGGCCCCATATCAAGGCCGAGAGGCAGGAGAGAGCCACCATCTGGTCCCCTCAGTCCGCTGTGCCCCATCCTTGTCACAAGAACTCCTTTAGCACCTTACATATCACTGCCATGATGAGGAAGCTACCCTTTTCTTGTCCTGCCTTTTTTTTTTTTTAAACAAAAACTGATATATTGATCCATGAGCAAAGAATAGTGTCACAACAAATCCTCCTTCAATCTCTTCTCCCACCTTCCTCAAGCCCAAATATAATAGGGCATAGGAAGCACTACATACAACCTTTCTAAATTACCAAGGTGGCCCTCATAAAGCCATCTTATCTTTTCATGTCTGTGGGCATCAGCTTCTTTCTCTGACTGTCCTAAAAATCAAAAAACCAAACCCATTGCCGTCAAGTCAATGTCAACTCATAGCGACCCTATAGGACAGAGCAGAACTGCCCCATAGGGTTTCCAAGGAGTGACTGGTGGATTCCAACTACCGACCCTTTGTTTAGCAGCCGAATGCTTAACCACTGCGCCACCAGGGCTTCTCCCTGACTGTCCGTTCCCTTTTTAATTCCCATGACAGCTAGGACGGAGCTTCACACCTGGCAAAGATCACGTTTGCTGACTGACTAATGATAGGTCCTCCTCCAACAACCCGGAAGGGCGAGGTGACCAGCTAGCAGAGGCAGTTTACAGAGCTGGCCCTCTGAGGGGAGGGGGACACTTGTCAATTCACAGCCTCCTCATGGTGGAGTTGCTGGCAATGGAAGGCTCACGTGCTTGGGGCCCAGTGGTATCTACAGGCCTACTGTGGGTGCCATCCTGGGTGGGAGGAGATGGGGGAGGATCAGTGGGAGGGGATGGAGGCAATTATATCAGGACTCTGGCTTGAAGAAACTGAGTCATAAAGCCAGTAACAGTGTTCACACCTATGTAATTATTGTGCTAGGAAGTGGATAAACGGGTTTCTGGGGAGCGGAGGGGCCACGCCACTGCAGTTAGGACAACTCGAATGGAGGGTTTCAGAAGGCCCTTGAAGAAAGGGAACAAATGAATGTGGTGACCCCGGGCCACAGCAGGTTGTGGGAAAGGAGGCTTTCTTGGTTCATAAATATAGCGTGGGTCAAGACACACATGTTGATTGGGGCAGGACAGGCAGAGCAAGAAGTCGAGGAGAAAGAAGGAAGAGGCTCAAGAGCTAGCTGATCCTCTTGCCCAAAAAAAACAAACGGTCTAGATTTCTGAAGAGCAATTTGCTCCAAAGGGATTCATGTTTTATCACGGAGTAAAAGATCATGTTCACCCAGGGTGTGGCCAAGCCTGACTCTGGGACCTGCCTGGCCCAGTGTTTGTACCTCCCAGCGGCCAGCACTCAGAGCATCAGCCTCTTTAGTGCAGTGGCTGCTTCCCTCTGCCTAGATTTGAGGAACTGACCTTGCAGTTGGCTCTGCTTATAACTGAGTGGCGCCACTAATGAGAAGAAGTTGACACTTCCCATTAGCAGCTCCCCAAGTTTGGGTCCATCTTTCCCCTGGGGGAAAATGCCTAAGGAATCTAAGACAAATCTGCCCTTCACAAAGCGCTGGTAAGGACAGAATGGACATTTTGTCAAGATTTGCTGCCTCATATGAACTGGGGAAAGATGTTGAGAACAGTGAGAAAGGAAGAGAAGTGTCAATGATATTTTAATCTGGGTATCAGATGGTAGGTGGCTATCTTCCTTGGAAACTGGAGAAATTGCACCAGGAGACCCCCAAATCCTACTGGTTCTGAGGAATGAGACAATTGCCATGGGAAGCCCCTCGCAGGGCAGCCAAAAGAAGGGGCACCTTAACCTTCCACCTGCAAGTACTGCTTCTTATTCCAACTAAGAGCATTACTGAAAGGAATAAATTGAGCACAGAGAATTGTTAATCATTCACTTTCTATTTTCTCTGGAACCAAACAGGAATATCAGGCAGAAATGTGGAAGAAAGTTTTTGAAGGGATATAAACAGAGAATTCTGCATAATACCCCTGACTGGCATGTACTGAGGGCTCCCTGCACACATGAGACAGACTCAGGTACTTGCACCCCACATCTGAACATCCCAGTAGAACAGGCCATTTGAGAGCCCTGGATCAGGAGTGGAGACACACGCATCTGTTGGTTACTCCCTGTGCAACCATAGGTGATTCTCTTCTCTCTGGACCTCAGTTTCTCCACCTGTCGATTGAGAGGGCTGACTAGAGGCTTGGACAGTCTAATGTCACATCCAGGAGGACACAGTGGTCAGTATTCTCGGCTATTTGTAAAAGGCTCTTGAATATCACTCCTAGATCTCCAAGGTGAGGTCAGAAAATTAGGGATGGGCACAAAGGAAGAGTTCCCTCCCGCAAAGCCAGAAAAGAAAAAGTTAGAAGTTTCTTTTGCAGGTATTCATGTTCCAGGGGTGGAACCATTATACCGTCCATAATAAAAGAAGATCCCCGAATCAAACACTTCCATCACAAATCAACTGGCAGTAAGGGACATGAGAAAAACACTCCTGAGGTTGAGGGCCCCTCGTTCCAGGTTAAATAAGAATTCCAGCTTTGCATACACAGAGCTGTAACATTTTAGGTACAGTAAAACCTGCAAAAGCTGGAACCCCTGTAAGGCGGAAACCTGCCAGAGAAAGGAAAAACGCAAATACTTTCCACTAAATAGAGAGCTGTAGAAAAGTGGTGGCTGCACCTTGTCAAAGGCCGAAAACTTGTGAGACCCAGAAAAACAAGGCAGTAGCATCGAGTTCCCGGCTCTCACAGGTTTCACTGTATTTTCAAACCCCGTAAATGTGAAAGAACACACTGCTGAAAACCGACAGTAATGAGCCCTTCTGCCTCTGCAGCCATCAAAAGTGGCATCAGGCATAAGGCTCAAACCGCATGCTGCAGCAGTCTGCACCCCAGGAGGACCCAAACCAGGCCAAATTGAGACAAAGTGGCCTGGACTTCTATTAAGGTTGGGGCAATTTAACAATCCTCGCGCTTCGCATCTGTAGGCCCAGACTCGAAGCACTGAACTGAGGCTGTGTTGTTTCCAGCCTTCACTTGGGCAGTGGGCTGCAGCTCTCTTATGCCCGTTTCCATATTCGTACTACCAGAGCAGACAGCACTATTTCTTCTCTGACAGATGGGCTATTTATTTGTGTTTAGCACATTTCTCTTTCAAGCCATTAAACACTTTTTGCAAAGTTAAATTAAAAAAAGAAAAGAAAAGAAAATCAAACCGTTTGCTAAGGAGTCAATTTTGACTCATAATGAACCCCATGTGTTAGCGTAGAACTGCTCCATAGGGTTTTCCTGTCTGTCATTTTTACGGAAGCAGATCACTAGGCCTTTCTTCCGTGGTGCCGTTGGGCAGATTCAAACTGCCAACTTACAGGCTGATAATCAAGTGCAAACTATTTGCTCCGTCCAGGGACCTTTTGCAAAGGCGTTGTTGTTAGGTGCCGTCAAGTCGATTTTCGACTCATAGCAACCCTATGTGACAGAGTAGAACTGCCCCACAGGGTTTTCTACGCTGTAATCTTTATGTGAGCAGATCGCCAGGTCCTTCTCCTACGGAGTTGCTGGGTGGATTCGAACCACCAACCTTTCAGTTAGCAGCTGAGCGTTTAACCAGTGTGTCACCAGGACTCCTGGAAAGGTAAGTGTTAGCATCTCCTTTCCAGAGCTGTGTCATCTTTGGCAATGACTTTTCCAATCACAAAATAAGTCCCTAGGTGGGCCATGGCCTGGAGTGCCAGGGCTCAGATGCCCACTTCCGTGTCCTAGCCACAGTACTAAATGCATCAGTTCAACCCTGCACCCTCCAGCTCTATGCCCCTTCCCCAAACTCTAACACCCACCTCCCCACCCCACCCAGCAAAACCAGACCACTACCCCAATCACTCTCCAGCCCACTTGCCTGGACTCCAGCTCCTCCATCAGAAGTGGGGGCAGGGCCAGGCTGAAGTTAGGGAGCAGCAGGTACATGGAAATGGCAGTGGAGAGAACCAGAGCAATTTGCCCCACACACACGAGACACGTAAGCAGAGGCAGGCGGCGCTGTCCCGGCATGCATAAGGCAGGGACTTAGGCAGTGCACGCCAGGGCGCTGGGGACAGGGAGAAGCCAGGAGGGCACATACTAAATCTAGGGCCTGGGGAATGGGATATGGAGATTTTTATTCAGCACTGTTACTCTAACTAACCACAGCACACATGACTGCGAAGCATAAATACGAATTACTTGTTCCTCAAAAAGCGGAAATGGCAGCAGGTAGAGGAGAAATCTTTAAATAGCAATACTGTGCTGAACTAACATTTTCCTCATGAGCTAGGCCAGGAATTGGCAAACTGCGAACTAATCTGGCCTACTTAACAGCTGCCAGTCATCCACGGTGCTCAGATCAATTCTGGAGCTATGGAAGCCCAGCTCACAGCCATGCGAATGCCAGCTACCTCCCGTTTTGGTTCAAGGCTAGGCTATGGTCTCAGTCACATCCTTGAACTTCTGCTCCATCTGAAAGCAAGAAGCTAGTGCAGCCAGGCAAGCCTCATGCTGGGTCGGGAGAATGCTTGGGAACTTGGAGAAAAGGATCGGCTATTTACACAGAGATCTAACCTAGAAACACTGAAGAGTTGGTTGGACATGACCTTCGCCCACATAGCTTTAAGGCCAGGGCAGGCTCCTTCTAGGCCAAGTCTGAGCCAATTTAGGGTGAGGCTGGGAGAGGCCTTGAGGTCTTTGACCAATCAGAACACCCTGAAGGAGGTCTAAGCTTGGTTCCAATCACAATGGAAGAACGAGATTGGCCTGGGAGTATAAGTGGGGGTGGAGTGGGGGGTGGGTATACAATGCAACAAGTGATCCCAACAATCTATCTGTCTGCAAGAAAATCTGTCCTCTTCTTTAGATCATCCCAGGAGCTACATGCACCCACCTGAAAATGCTGAGGTCAGAGTTTTACCCATTAGAATTCTGGGGGCTGCTGGTGGTTTGGTGAAGACAGACAAAAATGACAGATACGAAGAAAGAAACCTTGCAGTTTGGTGGCAACAGAGTTTGACAGAACAAGTAAAAGCTGACCTCATGCTGAACATGGAAATCATCCTGCTCGTATAGAAACACTGAGTGTGCTGGATTTGATCTATTTTAAATGCATGAAAGATGCCAAGGAGACCTATTAATCCACCTACATCTCTTATATAATTGTTTTCACCCAAGGATATGGATACTAACAAAAAGCCTCTGGATCCAATGCTACGAAGAGAGCGGAGAAGAGGAGTGTGTGGAGAGATCTGTAACTGAAGGCCAGCTTGGGACTGAATCCGTGTGCAGGAAAGAAGCCGACAGCCAGCTGAGAGGGATACCACCACCCTGCTGCCTTCCTTGGCAGCAAAAGCAAGATGGAATCATGAGGCAGGTGATTAGAGATAGCCTGATGGGATGTTAGAGACTAGGAGAGGAGTACACTCAAGAATCTGTCAGATGACCTCCAACGTCCTGACCAATCCGAAGATTCCGGAAGAGCCTATGACCCTACCTAAAGTCGTCTCACCAAAGTGGGATTTCAATACATGATGGTGGCCTTTCATTCATCTGCTGGAACAGAGCATAAACCAGGGCAATGCTGACTATAATCAACAGATTCCAAATGAATGAGAGGTTAAGGGTACCCCAGCCTGTGGAAGTGGCTGGAACTGAGAAGCCCATGAAGCAAATCTCAAGCACCGTACTTTTCCCTTCCCCTAGGTCCTCTGCCTTCTAGAAAGGCAGTTAAAATCGGGCCAGTGCAGTGATGTCCCATGGACGTAGATACAGCTTGATTCTGTATCAGAAAACCACTCTTGAGGTTTTATCCTGTGATAGACCCATGATAAGTTATAGGTCTGGTTGCTTTGTAGACTGAGTACTTCAAGTGCCACAACACTCTTGTTGTGTAGATTATACATTTGCAAATAGTTTCTCTTTAGCAGTGACTTCAAATTCAAATGGCTCTCTGATAATATTCATCATGAATATGCATCAAGCCCATTCTCAGATAAATAATAATTACGCACCAATTGATATGGTGAAAGAGAAAAGTGTAATTGTCAAAAGAATGGATTTGTATTCAACGTGAAACTTTTGGAAATGATGTGAGAGTTATGGATGGACCTCAAACTAGAGTGCTCATGCTTTGTGCTTCTGTCAGCCATCACTCTCGGGAGCGGGGACTCTCGGGACTGCCACACAGTCATTAACTATAGCAGATAACTTTTTTGATTTGACAAAGAGGAGTGCTTTCCCCCCCAAAATATAAAAACCCCATTGCCGTCAAGTCAATCTCAACTCATAGTAACCCTATAGGACAGAGTAGAACTGCCCCATAGAGTTTCCAAGGAGCGCCTGGTGGATTCGAACTGCTGACCTTTTGGTTAGCAGCTGTAGTAACCACTACACCACTAGGGTTTCCTCCCTAAATATAAGAATCCATTAATGACATTTCCTCCTCTTTGTTGCTGTATTGGGAACACCTGCAAATCCTCCCAGCAACAGCACACATCCTTTTGCTTCATGGGTCAGCATTTTATAAAAGGCTCAAATAACTTGGGAGCAATGTCCCACTGACTCTATTCTCTGGAAGCCTGGCTACAGAAGTCATCCAGGGGGCTCGTGCCTCAGGCTGAGGTCACTGTGAGACTGTGTTCCAAAGTCTGCTCAAAACTCATTTCATAGCACATCAGGCAAGGCTGCTGGGTGCTCACTCAAGGTGCAGCATGGGAAAGGACAGCTCTGCCTGGTGATTCACTCCACCCAAGAGCCAGGAGAGTGAAAGAAGGTACAACAGGGAGCAATAAATGCTCTCCAGAGGACTTCTTCCTGCCATTCTAGAATGTTCAAGCAGACTCAGAATGCCAGTGCATAGAGCTGCCCTTTCAGATCTCTCTCCAACCCTCTCGAATCTCACCTGCTCCACCGTCTCCTTGTCTTCATCCACCCACTCGGGACCTGCCTTGTCTGACTTGTACCTTAGATTCAGCCTTTATTTAAATGGCATGAGAGACATGTCCTCACCCTCCCCGATTGCCTATGGTAGAGATGAAGCCCAGACTCCTGGGTACTAATGAAGATGTTGACTACAATGCCCTGCGCAGAAAGCAAACGAGAGGAATCGCTGCTAAAAAGCAGCATGAGAAATCAGGTCCCTTCCTCCACAACACAGTAGTAGCCCCACAGGTTGCTCAAACAACACTTTGTTCCTGAGATCTAAGCCAATTCTTCTCATCAAGGGTCAAACCATATACCTAAATTCCTGTAAATTAAATCTCATTATAATGAATTCCAAGGCCAGTATTGTACTAAATGCTGGTACATCACTGGTGGGTCACTGATGGAGGCTTGGAAGCCTGTTATGGACAAAGAGGTTGGGATGCCAGGGCAGCAGTCCTTGCAAGGGAGGTTGGCACAAATTCACACTTTAAGCACTTTTAAGGGTGGCATCACAAGTCACACCTATCCTGATTCAAAAGGCATCCCTCCCCACCCCAAACACCAGGAAGACAAGGCAGGGGAGGAAAGGTGGAGTTGTGTGCACGTTTTTCCTTGGTGAGGCCATGTCATTATCCAACAACATCCAGCCAAGCCAGCCAAGCCTGATTCAGAGCGGGGGAGGACACATGGGCAACAAAAAATGTTTCTTTCCATTTCAACCGCATCCCCCATCTCTCTCCCTCCCACCTCCCCATGTCCCCAACAAGCAATGATCGAGTAGCATGAGCAGTCCTTATGGCTCCCTAGGTTTTAAACCTGCCCTGAGCCCCTGGCTAGGGAAGGCACGTCAAGCCCATGAGAGTGGAGTCTGCGAAGTAGGGAGGAGGCTGAGGAGAACCTGGGCCACAGCCACTTGTGTCTGCTGCTGTTGCTGCTGGAGGAGCTGCTGGAGGAGCTGCATCTGGTGGTGGGTGGACAGTGGCGTCCCGGAGCCCAAGCCCGGGGGCTTCGAGGAAGAGGAGGAAAGGAGCATCCTGGGTGAGGCTGTCAGCATGGGCTCCTGTGGGTGGGACGAAACCTAGAGGAGAAGAGACAGCAGGATGTGACACATGGACAGGAGCCATCTTTAGGGAGCTGACTCTGTCTGTACAGACATGGGCATGAATGTGGGCCGAGTGAAATGGCCCACTTGTAACCCACAGCTGGAAGTGTTGATGTCTTCAGTGGAAAGATGAATAGGGCTCCAGGAAGAAGATGGTATAACTGTCTGGGCTGGGACCACACAGTTAGAAAATCATTTTCGACACTTCAGTAACTGGGCCAATGTGATGGGAGACAGAGAGCTGAGACTGTCCCATCTCATGCCCACCACTTCCAATTCTACCATATTGTTGAGTTACTTGAGGTTCTAGACTTAGAGAAATCTATTTCTACAAAAGTAGCTACCTACCACCTCACTATGAGAAGAGGAAGGGGGCAGCTTTAATCCTTTGCTCTGCTGCCATCTTTAGGGCTCCCTCCTCCAGGGTCTGGAAGTTTCTCATGTGTTGGGCATTGGAGGAGGAGGCCATGTGAGAGGAGGCTCCCGAAGCCCTCCACCACCTTTTTTCACAGTGAAACCCACCAGAGAAGAAAGTTTGGACAGTAAAACAAATAATGATCAGGAGAGAGAGCCTCCCTCTTCAGCTGAAAGCAGTTTCTGTCCCCTCCCTTCCTGTCTCCCTCTCCTGAATCTCTCCTACAATTGGACACTTCTGCTAAAACTGCGTCTATGCTTCATTACTGGACTGCAGGGAGGGACATTGTGTTTCTGGTTGTTCTGCTGCTGGTCCTTCTTCAGGCAACGCAAGAGGAAGGTACCCAGTGACAGCGGGCTATTGCCACTTGGTAGGGAAAAACTTGAGCACCAACGGAAATATCAGGCAGACCACTCTGAACTGTACTGATCTCCACACTAGACAGACTTCTCCCTCTGATGACCTGGCCTAAGGCACATGAATGATAAGGAAAGAGGGGCACCGGTAGGGCCATTCTTTGGTAATTTTCCTCCTAGTTTTCTTTTGTCTTCAGGTTGGAATTTGGTTTCCAGTTAAGGAACTCCTTGGGTCCTCAATCATGCCACCTGCAAGATGTGAAGGTTTGAGGTAATGACACCAAGGCGGTCTCCCAGATGCTAACGTCCAATGAACCAATTTCCATACTCCACAGCACTATCATACAACAGTGTTAAAGACACACAATCACTAGTTGCAGGCAGAGGAAGCCAAAACTTATTTTGCTCCATTAGCTAAACCACAGGGGTTTACGTTTGTGGGTACGAAAGGATTAGCCTTGCACAAATACCGTGCAGAGGTGAGATGACATTAAGAGCAGAGGGTACTGGGGAGAAGGAGGAGATCAAATGTAATGACGGAGTCTTGGGAGGGCAATGCACATCAGAACTGAGCTCGACAGCATGCTGGCATGCAGCGGTGCCTGGAGTCAGTACTCAGGGCTGAATTCCAGAAGTCAGGGCCTCAAAAAGGAAGCAGCATGTGCTCAGGCACAGCCACCATGCTGTGGAGCATCTCCTCGGAAGCTGACCCAGCAGGGGCTAGAAGACGACCAGTGGTGGCTGAGGCTGTGACACAGGCTGCTCTAGCAGGCAGCAGGGACACACACATGCAAGCCCCTGGATGGGCCCCTCCTGACTACCTTGGAGTCTGTGTGGGAGCCTCCTTCATTCCCAACTGCGTCAAGGTCGGTTACCCCTCGGCTGAACTCCAGGACATCATTCCCCGGAAGTGGGACCTCTACTGCATCGATGTCAGTCTCCTCCGCAGTGGCCGTGGAGGCCCTCTCGGCTCCAGTGAGCTGACGGCCTGCAGGGACAACAGAGATGGCAGGGAAGGGAACTGAGGCCAAGGACAATGTCCGCCTTTGCTAACACTTCATTATTTAGTTGTTGTTAGTTGCCATTGAGTCAATTCCGACGCATGGTGAGCCCATGTATGCAGAGTGGAACTGCTGCATAGGGTTTTCAAGGCTGTGACCTTTCAGAAGCAGATCGCTAGGCCTGTTTTCTGAGGCACCTTTGGGTGGGTTCGAACCACCAACCTTTAGGCTAACAGTCGAGCGCTTAACTGTTTGTGCTACACAGGTACTCCATGTCAAGCCTACTGGGTCCATGACATTTTCACATACCTTTTCACTCAGGTACATTCAATTCCCAACCCAATAAGACGTTCTCATTTTAAAATCTTTTTAAAGTCCTGAAACAAAGGGAACATCTCCTCAAGGCTGGACTTGACTGTTTTGCTAGGTTGGCATAATATTTACATCGATAGAGTGTGGGGACTCTGTAAGAAGGGGGTGACAGTCACTTCCACCACATCCCCAGCTTAGGAATGGAATCCAGCCAAGGAAAAGAGCCCCAAACTGGGAGTCCAGAGACGTAGCGGTCTTCCCCATCCATGCCCCCAGTGAGCTGGAGGATAAGGGGCAAATCACCTAGTCCCCTGGGCCCCAGTTTCATCAACTATAAAATTAGAGAGCTGAGTTAGATGGACGGGTAGGCTTGCATGACCGAGGAATAAGGGCAGGGAGATTTGTGCTCCCACCCTAACACAGTATCAGTCTCCCATCCCTCAGAGCCTGACTGATTCTCCTGCCAAGAGCAGAAGCCAGGAAAGAGGCCTTCAGAAAAAGGCAGTGATGGGAGGAAAGAGACGACATGGCTGGTTCTCCACGTCTTCCTCATCCAATCTGTCTACTTCCCACTCTTCCTCCTTCCCACTGATGACAGTGAGCATGTCTTTGATTATACGCACACCATATTGCTTAATCCTAATGTATGAGAGTCCTATTTCTTATTTTTCTTCATTCCTTGTCTCTATTTCTCACACTCTGTACCAACAACTGATAATTCTTTGGTACTTCACAAGAGATATTTTCTTTCTCTACCTTTGGGATTAGGTTCATCACTACCGTCTTCAATTAAATTTCTTAAAAGCTTTCGGAGATTAAGCACCAAAGTGTAAAACTGAACAGGTTATCTAAGTGAGAAATACTGAGAGCTGACTCTCTAACCCTCTACCCAGAGAACCAGGCCTCAGTCATTTGAGGAGCCTGCCTTGTAGAACAAATCATTCTAAGAAGTCTTCCTATGCAAACCCACACGATCTTCTAGCGAAACAAGCCTGGTATTTGGAAAGTAAGCAGTGTGCTTGGATTTCCTCCTGGCTGTTCCGGGAGATGGTCCTGTTTAGGGTTGGAATGGTGCACAAAAGAAAAGACGGTCTTAGACTGTGGCCTGGTAGAGAAGACCTGGCAGCTCTTCTGCCCCTTTATAAATCAGGCACAGGGAGCAAAGACAGCAGCCTGCTTTCTACCACATCCCTGCAGCCTACCTTCTACCACATCCCTGTGGCCTGCTTTCTATCACTCCTGCGGCCTGTTTTCTACCACACCCCTGCGGCCTGTTTTCTACCACATCCCTGCGGCCTGTTTTCTACCACACCCTGCAGCCTGCCTTCTACCACACCCCTGCAGCCTGCTTTCTACCACACCCCTGCAGCCTGCTTTCTACCACACCCCTGCAGCCTGCTTTCTACCACACCCCTGCAGC